CACTCCGGGCTTTTTGCTTCACTGAAAATTGGTTCGATGTGGTGTGATGGATAATGCGGATGATCGTCGTGTGATTTCTCCACCAAAAACGACAACAACAATCATCGCGTTCGTTCTCGGCGCACTTACATAAGGCGAATTTTGATGCCGGTGTTTCGTCCGTACAACTACAGTCAAACAGGGTTGATACGCACACTCCACTATGCCTCGCAGGTAAAAAACAATGAGAAAATATAACATGTACTGGGTGAAAGTATCGAACATTTCCTAATTTGGACCGTAGCTATTGTAGGTGTGCTGTGGTGACTTCTTTGGGTACCCGTAGTAGGCCATGTCCTTCGCCAACTCATTTGCCTTCTTTTCTTCCCCAACCAGCGCATCCAAGAAACCCCTCTCACGTACCGCAACCGTTCTCCACTCTACCCACAGTTTCGAAGCCGCGGAATAAGAGGCGTAAGTCGCGGGAGCAACTCCGACCGTCGAAAGTAAGACCTCAAGATTTCCGAACCTGTCAACACACACGAGAGGGAGGAGAAACCTCAGCTAGTCTGCGAGGAATGTCAGTACGCGCCCACCGGATACGTGCCGCCCGCCGTAGTGTCGCCAGTACCAGGGATGCGTGCCGCTTCGGAACACCACCCCCCCGTCATCTCCAACACGCCCAACCATCTCATTACGCGGCGCGCGGCTCACGGTTTTCCCCGCTCTGGGTTTCGCCGTTATGCCAGCGTTTTTGTCCCTTCGGGACTGGGAGAGGCTTCAAACGACCAGAGGTTAACGTTGTGGCGGGCTTCGACACGGGAGGCATGTCGGTGATGACGACCCGCCGCGAGACCGGTGCGAAAGGTGTGTGCTTCTCCAAGAGTGCTTGCAGACCCTCGATGTTCTGTAGCGCAAGGGTCTGTTGTTCGGTTTCGCGTTGTGGCGAAGATTTGATGTTGGAGTCTCGGGGTAGTCTGGCTCGTTAGGCAGCTGCCGATTGCTGCGTGAAACGGGACTTTTCCCCCCGTGTCTTGATGGTTTTTTGTCTTCATCGAGCTGAAGGAGTTCCGAGCCGAGGGCCCCGCACCAGGGAAGAACTCGTTGGGACAGCAACCAGTGCCGCTCAGAACCTGAGTAAAGTTAGGAACGTGAAAGTTTTGTTGAGTCGGTTTGCTGCCAGCGGAACCCCGACTTGTACCCGACACTTTCCCCTCAGTCCCGACGCCCCGCTCGGACCCCGACCGCTCGTGTTGTTGCGACAAGATGGAGATGATGGGTGGCTCTTTTGTAGTGTTGATGCCGTTGTCGTCTTCTTGGCGCATCTCTTTGGGCTAGACCGTGTGCGACGTACCACATGGTAATAGGTGGTATGTTGTGTTCCTCTCGTTTGTTTTTGTATGATCGCTGTGCTTCTCGTTGATGGTCGGGTTGGGTTTATTGTAAGGCGCAGTGTAGCTGAGAGCGCACACTCTCGCGACGCATCTGACGAATAGAAGGCGAACCTCTATTTTATCTATCGGCAAGAGGTAATGTCCGATCGGCGGCACGCCCCTTTCCCACCCCATGTTTGTCTCCCAGTCTTCGAGGGCGTTAATCCCCGATCAGTTGGACATGCAACAGCCATTCTTGTGTCCCGGTGCGATTGTCTTCTACTTCCCTCGCCTCCCACTTTAGAGCGAGAAACGTCGAGCAGTTCCCGTGTTTTTCTCGATGACTGCGCGAAGCCTACATACATACACAGTATCGCTCTATCCGGAATTTAGGGACCATTGGGGGATGCTCACGTACCAAATGGCCCGTGTATTTTCAGCCAGGATTCGTAAACCTCGGGCTTGTAGTTGTTTTTGTCTGGTAGTCTCCTTTTTTGGTTTATCATGGGTGCGCAGGCGGGACGCGGTTGAGGCAAGGGCGACGGACACGCCGGAGTCGGTGTGTAGAGACGAGGACGAAGACGAGGACGAGGACGATGTCGAGAAGAGGAAGGAAGAGCAGGTCGGTTCTCGTCGAAAGTCGTCTAATGCTTTTCTTGTTTTTTTTTGTTTGGTAATGTTGCGGTGCACAATGTCGTATACCATCGCAAAGGATCGATCAAGCTCTATTGAAATCTACAAGCGCGGATGCTAGACGCACAGCGCCTCTACACCGGTTTCAAATGTACTAGTACCGCATGCTGCCACCGCCTCGCGACCTGAATTTCCACGTGCTTGTCGGGTTATAGCGGAGAGGAGGATGTCGATGACGACGACGATAGCGGAGAGAACGAAGAGGAAGGAAGCGGAGACTAGAAAGACATGGGCGAAGATGACGATGACGAATGAGCATCCAAACACAAATATATGATGCTATCGTTAGGGTGTTGTCTCGCGTTGTGGGCATCGTTCGGGCATCGTTCCAGGCGGCAGCAGTGTTGCGGCTTTTCTCTAGCTCGTGGGAGAAGAGGCTAGCGAAATTGACTTTGTCGTAAGAGCGACGACGGATGTACAATTTCCCTCCTCTGTTGTCGGCGCTGTTGGTGCAGACTTATTTTCTCCGTTGAGTTGTCAGCGGGGAATACCTTTAGGGGGCTACGCGACGAGCTTTATCCATTCTTCGCACCAGCCCACTTGGGGTGAGAGGAGTGCAACGTAGTGTATCTTGTGGAAAACAACTATTGCTGCGCGGACAATGTTCGGCGACAGCCTTAATGGTCCTTGTGACTGCACGTCGTTCTCAAGAATCAGAGAGTGTTGTTTTCGATCTGCAACTGAACATCTTCCCAAGCTTGTTGTCCCTCAGCCTTCGGGAGGTGGAGTTCTCTGCAAAACTATTTGAACCCATACCTTTTTCTCGGTCATTGCGAATGGCACCGCGCCGTTTGACAAGGAAATGGTTTGACGCGAGGCAAAAACAAGCAAGAGCGCGCACCAGCATCGATGGTACGTCTTGGTTCTACGTCTTGCTTAGGGTAGAGTCGCTGGCGTGACAATCTCTGCGCGTGAGACGACCGGTATCACCTCGTCTCTCTCTCTCTCTCTCTTTTCCTCGATCGTGAACTTTCAACCGACATCGTTCTTTTCCCGTGCCTGGGTGAACACCTCGACACAGATCCTGGATTTGCCAAAACAGCGCGGTCGTCCTTGCGAATAGTGCACCCACGAAGCGTATCAGATCTTTGAACTATGTAGACTAGTGAAACGGCTTCATTGAGTCGATTCTGCCTGAACACCTCGAAGGGGCTCCAGCAGCCCCTCCATAATTGAAGTTGTCGTGCATACTTCAAGACCTTTTCGTGCTGTTCACATTTTCAATAGGAAAGTTTATCCGTCGAACAGAGAGAATACGCTTACGACGCCCTACGTCGGCGGCAGCAGGATAGCAAAGATCCCGCCCTTCCATCCCTTTTCTTTCGAAGGTGGGGGGAAAACCTCGGGAGCATTCGGTAGATAGTCGGGTGATGGAAAGTGATGTGTACCATTTGGAGGCTTGTCAGTTTCGGGACTCCACGTTGCAGCCGCAGTCCCCCGGCTGGTATTTTGGTGGGAAAGGGGCAGTACGAGTTAACGTCGCGCCTCGCAGTCAAAATGCGGCCGGCGAGACGATGCGCGTTGCGTGTACCTTTCTCCCCAACGTGAGGCCTAGAAACCGAAGCAAAACAAGGAAACACTGCGAAAGAAAACCGAAAAACGATAATTTTCCCTCAAGAGCTACAACCTGCAACCTATTAGCTAACTAGACCAGAAGATTTCGGTTTCCGTCTTTCCATCCGAGTCAGTCAGCAGTTCGGCTGTGCGACCGAGCGCTTTATTCCTGCCACCAAACTTGCGGTTTTGCCTGTACTCTTTGTATCAAGTTTTACGGCATAAGCTACATGTCCCTATCGCAATATCAAGAACTACCTTCACGCCACATATATCCATCCCTCTAGACTGTACGTGAAACCTAAACCGAAAACTTGACGCCAATGACCTGGAACTGGTCAAAAATAGTCTATAACACATTCGGGACAACCGCGCACTCCACGGGCCTTGTGCGGTCGCCGTTCCAACAATGGACACGGCCCAACCGTCAAGTACGCAACACACCACATCAATCCACCCAACGAGGAGCCTACCACACACGTATGCAAGCATTTCACGCGCGTCCTTGCTGTCTTCCACACCACCCGTTCTCTCGGAGCGTCGTGACTTCACGAGGTCGGGTCTCCCACACTTCCGGTAGTTTTGATAATCTGCTCATGGACACAACATTCTGCCCATGGGAAATGCCCATGGGCAAGCCCATGGGCATGCCCATGGGCCGCCCACGGTGGGCACTTCGTGGGCAGTTCATGGGCTGCCCATGAATCAAGGGCAGCCTATGGACCGTCGATGAGTGCGCTTAAACCGGAATCAGTGTACTCCCTAACAATTGACTATCTACTTTGGAAGGGGCATTATAGCGGCTAAAAACCCTAACGCTAACCCAAACCCTAACCCCAAGCCCCCACGATACATGCTAGATTGGCGGTGGGTGGCAAAGTTCTAGGTCGATGTTCCGGTGGCTACGTTCTAGGTTGATATGCCGGTGGCGAAGTTCTAGGTTGATGTGCCCACGGTGGGCACTTCGTGGGCAGTTCATGGGCTGCCCATGGGCGCGCCAATGGGAAGCCAGCCCATGGGCAGGTCATGGGCACTCTATGGGCAGTCCTTGCAGTGCCCACGGGGGGTTTAACAAAGCTCCCAGGAGTGTGGGAGATTGACGAGGTCGCACCTCGACCGTTGTCTTGCTCCATGTCTACGGGCGCGCTCCTTTGGGACCCACGCACCTCTGAACACGTGATGATGTGATCCGAGGTGATGCCCCCCCTTCAGAGGTTGAACTGGCCTAATCGGACGACCCCACTCGCTGCCAGCATTACCTTCTCAATACAAGTCTAGACGTCCGTCTAGTCTCTCAGACCGCTCTTCTTTAGGCGGTGCACCAGTCAGTGCACCTCCTGACAGCAACACGCAAACGACGACGGTTGGTTGAGGCAAGCAACACTACCACCCCCTGTGCCATCACGCTCCGTACCACTGCTCCTCAGGGCAGAGGACTCCCACGAAGGCGCGGTCGAAGTTGGGGCTGTCCTTGGAGCACTGCCTGATGGCCTCTCCGAGAACGAGGTGGAAGTCCGTGGTGAAGTGGATGCTGTCGTAGAAGATCTTGGTCGAAGGGTCGTCGCACTTGGTGACGGCTGGTTGGTCCACCAAGCACGTCGCGCACGGGGTAGTCGAGTCGGCGCAGAGCGCGCACTCCTCCTGGCAGTCCGGGTTGCGCAAGGCTTGGGTCCCCATGATCTCGGCGGCGTCGTCCACGACGAAGTTAAACTGGATGCAGGTTTCGGCCAGGAGCGATCCTTCTCCTGGAGTGAAGCCGAGATCCAAGAAGATGGATTCGTCGTCAACAAGCGCCTGGCGGAACACAGAACGACGCGGGGGGGGGGGGTCGACTATGGGTCAGGTTCATGATCCATCTGTTTACCATATGGTGAGGACGGAGGATGAAGGCCGCAAGACGGAGTTCGGCGGCCGTTCACGGACATGGCACTAGCATACGTAGTTCAGGCAATGAACCGCCTGGTGTACAGGGCAAGGCCAAAACCACCAGAACGTTCATAACGCCGCTTAGTTGCCCCGATGGACACCAAGCCGGGGCCATCGTCAAGCAGGCGTTTGCAAGTTGCACGGCGATAGCGACGTCTTCACCGTGGTTCCACACGAAAGATGCACCTAAGGATGACCCGCAAAAGTCACTATCCTGAACGTGAAAGCGTTGCATCAGGACTCAGGGTCCCGTGCGCGTCATCGATCGACAACATTCCAACGTGCTTTGGACGCGAGAATATATACCTTGGTGTGCGATTTCGCCTTCTTCAACACCTGTGATCAATGGCCCTATTAAATGAAGCCACCTGTACGATGTATAGGTCTCTATCGGGTCTTCCTAGTACTCACCGCGAACAAGGTGTACATGTCCAGCATTCGCACTTGACCGGCGTACTTGTCCACCAACAGTTCGGCTCCGCTGCGAAGGACCAAGGTGATCTGGTCCAAAACAGTCGCGGTTTCCGTACCGGCAATGCCCTGTGCGTGCCATTGAGAACGCGGCATTAAAATAGTCAGCAGTTAATCGTTTTTCGCGCATCGCACCCAGCGCCTGCTGACAGCGCCCGTGCTCAACGTCATTTGCGACCTCGAACATCCCCATGCATGCAGATAGTTCACGGAAGGTCACCTTACTTGTAGCCCGACAAATATCCCTTACATGTGTACAAAACCTGTTTTTGCGCAGTACTCGGCCCTCCCCTGAGGCCGACGCCCTCCGGTTCATTGTCGGTGTCACAATGTAATTGGAAGTAGATGAGGGGATATTCAGCTAACTGTACGCAGATGTTGATAAAATCTCCGATGAATCCGCCAGCACTTACATCGAGCCCTTTGAGGGACCCGACGTTGGCGAGGAGGATTCTCCCGGTGACGCCAGCGCCGATCAGCCTGGCGATCCCCTCATCCCAAGCGCCGAGCACTTCCTGTGACGGTGAGCGTAGGTATACATACAAGTTGCAAGCAGGGATCAGCGGGTGTCGCCAGAGAACAGAGCTCGACTTCAGCCTGCAGAGGCTGCAGGGGCAGGAACGAGGCTCACACCACCTAACTTGAAGCTCACATCGCCTGACATCATGCAATAATGCCGGAGGTCTAGGGTGCAGCGCTGGCGAACTCAACGCTCACAAGGGTAGTGCACCCCAGCATGTGTGCGTAAGGTTGTTCTCGGACTTCGTGGCAAGCCACGATGAACGAAATTGACGCAGCGCGTGTAGATGTATCAGCAGGGCGGTAGACCGCAGCGACAGCGGAAGCACCACCACCACCGCCATCTCCACCACGACCACCACCAACAACAACAACAGCAACAACAACAACAACAACAACAACAACAACAACAACAACAACCGTACCTCGAAAATCGCGCCTTATTCCTTTTGAGTAATCGTCTTGTTAAATGATACGTCCATCCTCACCTCGATCATCGGCGTGAAGGTGGGTACTGGGAGGCCGTTTTCATCCAATACTGGCAACCCGGTGGTGGCATTAACCTCGAAGACCTTGTCGAAGGCAACGGGGTCCTGGTAGCCCTCTCCTCCAATGGAGTAGCGGGTGACGGCGGCTGCCGCCATAATCAGCTCGTTTATCCCGATGAAAATAACGTGGGTGTAGTCTGCATGCACAGCAGTTAGTTGTGCACCATCAGGCACGCATGGGTGGCCCTTCATGCTCCGAGACTTGCGAGACAAGCTCAACAGGGACGAACAAACATTAGTATGGTTCTCAGAGCAGCCCCACCAAATTGATAGTGTGAAATTATCGAGGGTATGGCATCAACCTAGATCTGCATAGGTAGCGGTCGCACAGAGAACGTCAGCATACTCTCAACCTCTTCAAAAATATCCAGCGCTACCCTGGCGCTGTCCAGTGCGCAGAAGGGAAATGCTGCCTCAAATTCTTGCTGCAAATGGAAGCAGCAACCGTTCGACAAAGGAAAACCCAGTTCACCTCTAGGGTCTGGCAGCTAGGTCTATATCGTCGAGAGTTGGGCCGGACAATATGAATTTTCTCACCTAGAGTGTCGTTAGTAGTTGTGCTCGTATCGTCGACGATTTCGTAGAAGTATCGGTCGATCTGTTCTTCAAGAGTCTGCAAAGAAAGTGAACGGGTGACGGGGTAGGATAACGCGTCAGCACACCAACGCTCAGCCCGACAAACAGAAGAAGAGAGGTGACATGTTGCCGCGGAAGCGAGAGCTTCGAAACACAAGGGGTACAACAGTGTAGGCTCAACAGCTTGAGGCGCCGAAGACGGAAGCACCAAAGGGCCGAGCATACTTGTAGGTCGGGTTCCAGTGCGTGAAAGGAAGAAGTAAGCAGTACAAACAAGCAGACTATCATGCATCAGACGCGGGTGAACGTTGTCATCATCTTCCTGTGTTACCTGCATCTGTCTCTCTCTTCCCTTTTCTCCCTTTCTGCGCTCCTCTATTTTCATCGCGACCGTTCTGACCCGCTCTCTCCCCCTTGGTAGAAAGCCTCGCCAACACCTTGTTTCAACGGAGGCAAGAGGGTGGCAGCACACACACAGAGCCCCCCGCTCGTCGTTCGTATCTTTGACTAATCCTTGCCGGCGACCCAAGTGACAGGCCGGTACAGTAGTAGAGCACCTCCCTTCTTATCGCGGCGTGTGTCAACAGTATCGAATAGGCTTACCGCCGTGGGGAAGTCTTCCCCCTCCCCGGTGTACCCGGTGCACCTCTCGCGAGAACGGAACGCATCCGTGGCGGTCGCTGAACTCGTCGCAAAGTTGTGCTCCTGATTCACCCGGTGTACAGTATTCAATGCGAGACGGCGGGCAATCGAGGCGGGAGAGAGCGTGGTCCGTGATGTGTGTTCGTCCCGTCTATATTCTGGCGCCAGTCTACACACCTTTCGGTGTACATGGCTGACGTATCAGCCTAGGCCACCGTAAAAAAAGAGAGATGTCATTAGGAGCTACTTTGCCAGCAAATATGTCACACGGGTCAGTCACCGGCTATACGCCTGTGGTCGATGATATGCGACGAACGCGCATTTCTAGCGACTGAAAGGTTCCCCACTGTGCCAGCATTCCTTGCGATGCTCCGTGAAGGCTGGGGTGCTACCGGCGACATCCAACAGAAAGGCTTTGGGAGCTCACGCAAAAACATGGCGGACGCTCCTGATAGGTTGAAACCATAGCGCACGAAGCCACCGCCGCTATTCACAACGCCGTACCGAAATGTGTCCCAGAACATTGCGGCTGAAAATATGCGACGAAGACCTCCTAAGCACGATAGCCAACCTAGAGGCGTGCTCACGGAAAGCGTGCTTAGTATCTGGACCTGAAGCAGAGCATTTACGATGTCAAACAAATCCGTACGTTACTCACGTCGGGAATACGGAGCCACGTCGGCCACACTTTTCCATTTGTCACGGAGCCTTCAAACGGCATGTACGCTGCCGTTTTCTCCTGCGGACAGCACGAGAAGCACCAAGAGTAGTAGCAAACGCGGTTTAGGGGGCATGGCATGTAGACATCCGCAACGCATACAGGAGACAACAACAGGAGGGTGGTAGAGAGCCACCATTCGGCATTATCGAAGCATTTTCAGCACCATCTCGGATGTTTCCACGAGTCCATCCCAGGAACAAAAAACGTTTCCACGAACATGCCGGAAATGAGACCATTCGCAACGAAGCGCAAACCGCTGCATCAAAGTGTTAACCTTCTGCCATATACCCATATAGGGCAAAGCAAACAGGCAAAACACCATGAAAGCTATGTTTAAAACATAGTTTCAGGCACTTCCCGTCATTCTTCTCCATTCTTACCTCTAAGAGGCTTGCTTCCAAGTACTGCCTTGGTGGGTAAACCTCGTTTCGGCACGAGCGAGATGTTTGACGGCCAAGACGGCGTATTCGCAGAAACGACCGCTGCACACACACGTACGTATTGGTTAACAACGACCACTCCGAAATAGCACACACCACCCGCCGCCGTGAATGCTGGAGCGATCTCCCGGCCGTCCATAACCACGACACATCCCCAGGTACGTTCTGCACGCGTACTCTACGAAATCCGGAGAGACTTCAAAAGATCAGATAGCCTCAAGAACATGACCGCTCACGTCACTGTCCGGCCCGTCGTACACCCGCTTCCACGGGAAGGGCCCGATCCCCTCGTCCTCGAACTGGAAGCTGGCCGGGGTGTTGAACCTCCTTCCGGTGTCCGAGTTGGAGTCACCTAACACCACCATCTTTGCCGTGGTTTCGAAGCACAGAGAAACATTGCAAGGGTCGAGAACAGGACATGTCTTGGTCGTCGGCCTCCGGTTGAGTACCTCGACATTTCAGCAAGCCTATTCGGTGCAAGCCTTGCTGCAGAGTGGTTTCAATATCGCCTCCCAAAATCAGCAGCACCGGATCAGTATCCCGTGATGAATATACCACAAAAATCTTCCCATGAACGATTCCCATCTACTTTTCCGTCCCTGGCCATTATTTTGTACAGCCGCACGTTCTCGGGAAATTGCGCGTAGTATATCGAAAGCGGTGAAACCAGAACTCTTTTCTCGACCAATTTTTCATCCGCAGCTATGCATAGGTGCATGCTTGAAGTGTGTGTAGATGTGTTATCCGAAGCTGGTTGGTCGAGTGCCGCATGAGAACGCACTGCTGCTTGCTGTAGTCTAGCTCAATCCGTTTTGGGAGTCACGGCAGACTTGCGCTCTCTCCAACCGGTCCAAATCTCTCGGACTTGCGTATTCTACCCGCCAGTGGTTCCCTGGGTTTTGACTTCACACCCTGTACAATTATGACTAACAAGTACAACAGGTCGCCCGGGATTCTGAGCCAGTAGTTGATTGGAATGAACTTCAGTCACCCCAATATTTCCAGTCAGTAGTAGGTTGATTGGGATCAACTAGTTGCACAAGGTTCTCTGGCCGAGTCCATAGTTGTTTTGGCAAACAACCATTTGCGTAACCTTTTCACAGCACTATTATAACGGGAACAAACAATGACCTTTTCCACGCTTTTTGTGCCGCCGTTGGCCATTTGACGTGTTTTTATCCAGTACTGCTTTATGTAGTTGAATCAAGGGCGCCCGAAAAAATATATATCCCGACACCTACGTCCTACGTACCCATTTTCTTGTTTGGGAGGTTTTCGGGGGGGGGGGTAACGGTACGCTAATTCCCATATGGAGCATTGGGAACCCGCGGCGTGTCGCCCATTTTTCTTTGGGGTACCCTGTGCGCGAGCTAGGATCCTCACTTGCGAACCCCGGACCCATGATCACACAAAACGGGTACATGACACATCAAGAGCGGAGAGATGGCACCGGGTGTGATCGTATTTACCAATGTTTTTTCCTCGGGTTTTTTCTCGCACCCCGGTATCAACTCTCCGACCCCGGTGCGGAAATGCAAAGAAATCATTTCGTTTAGTTTATTCAAGGCACCCCGGTGCGATCTCTCCGACCGGTGCCATCCCCAATGAAATACACACAGATGTTGTATGCACGTACCCCGGTGCCATCTCCCCGACCGGTACGATGGTATTGTACCAGTGTAGGCATACCCACACGCACAGTTTCTTCACACGTTAGTTGACAATGCTATTGATCAGTATAGAACCACACCATACGTGTAGGTACCGTTGTTGCTGGTTGGAAGCACACCGGTAACGGCAACGTAGGCTGGTACGTAACAGCTTTCCATGCACAGCGAGTGGTCTTGTGTTTGAAGGCGAGTTTGGCTATGGCGTGACAAGGACTACAAACGATGTGAGGCACCGGTACACTGATACCGTACGTCCACTTTCGTTTCGGTCTTCCTACGGATACCAGTACGTATATACGCAGCAGTACAATAGGTGTAAGGTGGGGTAGGGTGCGGCTTGTACGTTGTGTGTTTGGGTGAGTGTACGGTTGGCAATTGGCATCCCGCGCGACCATGAATACGTACATACAGGACAGGAGTGGCGTTCCGCTGACACCGTCCCTACGTGCAAAAGATACGCACATGTACTTCATTCCGGAAGCTGACAGGAGTTCAATCTTGGATTTGGGGGTCGGTGAGATCGCACCCGGTGCGATCTCACCGACCCCGGTGCGTAAATCGAATTAAATCATGCCGTTCTTGTATCTGTTTGCGCACCCTGGTGCCGTCTCCCCGACCGGTGCCATCTCTCCGACTATTTCGGTAACCCACTCAAGGTATTATGCGTATAGTATAACGTCGTCACTAGTAGAACACGATGTGTCCCACACATACACGCAGCTTGCGTGAAGCGTGCTCTGAGCACCATGAGAAGCAAAGAGCATTGAGTTTTTTTTCGGCCCGCCCGGGGGGGGGGGATACATACCTGCATAGGTGTGCGGGATGACTTTTTTCGGGTGCCCTTGGTTTGAATGGAAAAAAACAAACTACAGCTAGCTATGCATAGAATTTTGACCGAGAAGTTGTTTGGAAACACCTTGCTAGCTTGTTGCACAACATTCCAAGTACTTGCATAAGATCCTGACCAAGTAGTTACTACAGAAGTGGTCCCGATAAAGTGGCATGTAGTGGAAAGAGAAAATCATGGCACTATTCAGGGCAATGCCACTATTCGATATAGTGGCAATAATGTCACTATTGCGTAGTCAATGATGGCATTATTGCCACTATATCGGAGAATAAGCTTTAATGCTTACGCTACGGGCAGTTGTTCCTTGGATCTCCACTCGTATGCGTTGTGTATGTATCTTAGGGCCCCCCTTTTATTGTGTGCATATTCGCGTGAAAACGCAGGTGTCTGCCCATCACGTGTGTGTGCGCTGACACTTGATCGTCCTTGTGACGACGAGGCCTTTGGAGATCGCAACCTTGCTTTGTGTGCAGGTCATCCACGATGGGGTTCAACACAAGCAAAACACAAATATTGAAATCATCAATGTACGCGAAACAAATGGAGCAACCAAGTTGAAAGTGCCGAACACTCCCCACTCCGGCGCATAAATCCCAACCGTCGCGATGCTTTGCACCTGTAGACCTCAACCGACCAATGCCACTACACTATGACTGGGCAAACGCTCTGATGTCCAACTGCCGTGCCGGTCTAGCGGCATGTGTTGCGAAAAATGCCATCTTTGCCTTACGGGGAAATGCCCGGCCTCGCCAATGCCATACGACTTCTAGAGGACCAGAAAGCCCAGAAAGTTCCGCGAACGACGGCGGCGCCTTCATTCCTCCACCCCCCTCACTCTCAGAATCTCCGATGTTGTCTAGCTCTTCTGTAGTCTAGCTCGTCGTCAGAAAAGGTGTCCTCTTGGACGTACGTGTTGCCAACCTTCTCCATAAAATCTCCCTTGCATCTTCAGACAGAGCTTGCGGTGATATACAGAGGGGTTCCGACGTTTTGAATTGCCACTATTATTGGGGGGATGAGATGCCCAAAATGCCACTATTGAGGGCCCCGTCCTCAATAGTGGTACAACGCCACTACTTGTATATCGGGTTGAAATTGTGACAAGCGATTTTGATGCCACTATTGAGGGCACATCACTATTCAGGGTGCCACTATATCGGGATCACTACTGCACTGTAGTTTGCGCAAGAGTCTGACCGAGTAGGTGCAGTTGCTTGGAATCATGAAGCATGCACAACGTTCCTGACCAATAGTTCTTTCTCATAAAATGCAACAACCGATTGATTATTGTAGTTGTTGCATGCAGGGTGTTTTTTTTTTTCAGATACCGTCCCTTATTTTTACCGTAATAATAACCATCGTCTTGGTTTGTATACAGCAGTATCTGCATATTTTTGCTCTGTTTTTCTGATGCGATGGTTGGGGCTACATGGCACAGCAATGAAATTGGCTGAAGTTTACCCGCGTGCAGGGAAGAATATCTGTTACTACTTTTTAACAAGTAGTATGTATGATAGTAGGAGGGACGAAAAGACGCTCCAGCCCGAGCGCAGTGACGCACAGCCCGCCAAACGGTCTGGCTCTGCAACCTGCTTCTACTACTGTTCTCACTTTGTTGTAAACATCACGACGCTAGCGACGTGTCTGTGTGTGCCTGTCTTCTGACTCAACCTGACACACACTCTCTCTCGCTCTCTCTCTGTCTGTGTTTGTTGGCTTATGAAACAGCGGGCCTATTCGTCATATTTAGAAAGGCAAGAGGCCAGTCAGTGTAGACGAACTCTACAACAACATGTCCTCTAGGTGAGAAGAAGTGGTATGGTTTGTCTTCATCCGTCAGGAAGTACCCATAGATGCAGCCACTTGGCAACGAGATCTGCCGTGTGGACTACTACTACTGTGGTCGGTCTTCGTTCGGTACAGGACCTCAGCCGGTTGAGATGTGCCACATGTTTTCAAGGCCAACTCTTTGTCCTGGCAATCGATCGTCGGGGCGTGAGACGACACACTGACTCGCCCGACCACAGCGGCAGAGGAAGAACGAGGTTGCTCACCAAATCCGTCTTTGATGTGATGCAGCAGCAGCAGTACATATGCTAGCATTCCATCCCTAACCGCGAGCCGCACCTGGGGAGGATTCTCAAAGCGCCACTTCTTGAACTCGTTGGGCCTGGTCACCTCCGCGGATGCCACACCCGACAGCAGTACCAAGCCTCCCACGACCAGATGCGACCTCCTCATATTTTTGCTTGTGCCTTCTCACTGACAGCACACCGGTGAGAGAAGACCCGTGTATACACAAGCCTGGTGTCAGTTGCCCCGAACGTCCCAAGGAGCCCGGACTACATGTACACGCTTCCCTCGAGTTTGTTGACGCTACAAAAGCGGTAATTGAATGTGGTGATGATGGTGGCTGATGGTGTGATGGTGGGCTGGCTGTATTAATAATGTGGTTCTGGTGGAAAGTTGTATGCAAATGGGCAAACTGTGGAGATCAGAATTGGATGGAGGGTTATGTAGGAAGTACAGACACTATTAAGAGACACATTCAAACATTTCAAAAGCGTTGGATCTGAGGGATGTATGATACAGTCGATTAAAGTTCTTCCAAGGGTTCGTTCTTCCTCCAAACGGCTGCGTGCGGATGGTCTTCATGAGGCTGGGAAATTTGAGTCCACGAAGGCTCGCCCACTCCGCACCAGCACCTTAGCTCGACTGAGTTCGCTCGGTCACGCTTGGCATTCTTCGTCACATCGCGTCAAAGGAAATAGTCAGCCTCCGGTGGCAGGTCCATAGTCACCACACCTCCGGAATCTCGAGAGTGGTGTGGGAAGTGCACACTATTGCGCGGCGGATGAACCTCAACTGATGATGCTTCTGCTGTACGTGTCATCAGCAATAATAATACATATGAAACCTTGTCGCGACCTGCGGTCAAATGTTGACCAAGACTATGCTACGCATGGTTTGAGCATGCCTTCTCCTCCAGTCTGCCTTTTGACCTAGCGAAGCCATGTAACGGTGGGATTTGTTGTGTGTACTCTGTCGTATGTCGTATGTGGTTGTCGGATTGTCTATCCAAGTTCGAGTTGGTTTTCGGCGGCAAAACCTGTGCTGTTTCACCCATGCATGTTACCGTGTACCCTGTATCCTGTATTGTTCTCTTTTCGTCCACCTACATAGTTGCCCGCAGGGGAGACATCACTGCTGTAGGTTGGTCAACGAGGAAAGGTATTAGAAACCACCAGAGAGCCAAAGGCAAATATCTCTACATAGTTTATGGACTCTAAGGAGAGAGAAAATTGAGTGTAAAACGGTTCGTGCGTTCGTGCGGTTCTCACGGGGCGGTTCAAAAGCAAACGCGCGTGCGCAACAATTTGAACCATGACTGATGGGCTAACCCTTCGAGCACAGCAGCAGCAGCTCTCCGAGCTTGCGTCGGGACTGCTAGTTGGATTGGATGGGAGCAGTACTGAGACCTTAGAATGGACGGGATACCTCATCTCTTGGTCAAATATGTCGCAGCTACAAGGTGTGTCCCTCCTGTTACTCTCATTCTCTGTCTGGGATTCTCGCATGGCCGCTTGGGCACGGCGAAGTACTGCTGTACATCTTTATGTACATAGTGTACATAGAACCCCGGTGGTCTGCAGAGATGCACACAGAGGTCTGTCGGGTTTTCTTGGGGGGGTTCTGAGACCAATTCGGGACCAAAACGGTCGTTCGCAGTTCGGCCGTCCCCCCAAACCGTGCTAGTCTAAGGGTGCTTCTTATCGACCAAAAAAACACGAAAAAAAAAACGAAACCGTTTTTTCTTGAACACATATGGAGGCGTTTTTGAACGAAAGCGTGAAAAGAAGGAGCCCGGTTTTTTGGGGGCTTGCTCTTTTAACGTTTTCGTGTTTTTGACAGAAGCATCGGACAAGCGCACCGCAGGCGCTGTAACATCAATGAGAACGCTAGAAAGACCTGCCAGACTCACGTCCAGGTCTGTTGTGGAGATGGACAAGCGGCAGAAGCGGCGTTCAGTCCGTTCTTGGTCCAAAACTAGACTTTGCGTGGTGCTCTCGTCTTCAACTGCTGCTGTTGGTGCTGGGGAATTTTTTTCGATCACACATAGCAAACACGGAAACAGTAGAACGAGTACAGCAGCACCACCAAGACCTCCAAAGCGCTGATTCCTTCGGTTCGGCTGTCTATATGATACCATCTCCCGGCGCCGTGCTGCTTCGTGGGTATTGAGTGCTTGGGTGCTGCTCAATAAGGTGTGTGAGAGACGTGTGCCACCTCACCAAAATGCCGTTGGAAAAATTGCGGCGAGATGATCTGTTTTTGGTCGGACATATCAACATCAATCCACGGCGTCACGCAGCAGTAGAGCAACAGGGCCTCCAACACGCTAATTCTTTCGGATTGGCCATCTATATGATGCTGGCCGTCAGCGCGGCTGCCGCCCTATGATTGTTGAGCTCGTCTACCTTTGGGTAGGTGGTGGTCAAAGATGGGAGTCGCAACCGTGAAAAATGAGCTGGCAAACTGAAGAAATCGCAAGCAACACCCAGGTTGCGACACTCTGCCGTGCGCCTGTTGTTGCTAAAAACTGAAAACAGCAGGCCGGGTGGACGGGATCTTTCTAAGTGTGTTGTCCTCTGTGCCGGGTGCTGCTTATTGCGCTTTTATCGCTGCTCTATGGTGAGCAATACCATGTCAACCTGTTGTGTGCCAAGCAAAGCGTGTATTCAGGGAAGGAAACGTGCTTTTTTTTATGACATCACGAAAAGAACAAGCAAAAAAAAGTCGGGTTTTCTTTCAACCGTTCCGTTTAAAAAATAACGATTTCGACGTTGCGTTAACAATAACCCTAATAAGCCCTGACCGCTCAGGCACGCCGAAGGCGTGCCTCAGGCTCGCTGGCATTTGCCTGAGAGGGGCGATTCCTAGCCTGAAAAGCCTGATATTTTTCCCGGGCTTCTGCCAGAAACGAAACCTAGACTATACTACATAGTTTCAAGTACAATTTTCTCAAGAGTTGAGACGGGTCATTCGTGGCTCTTCTCCTTGTGTTGCCTGAAGCTTCCCGGGGTTATGTAGCAGCAGTCAGGCAACAAAACACCGCCTCAGGCAAACATCTCATAGCAATGGCTTCTCAGGCAACACGCCCATTGTCGCCGTATAGAGGTCATGTCGGAATCGTGCTGTCTATGAGCAGCAAATACGGCAGCAACGTCGTGATTCGACTCACACGCGTCGATTCGGGCACTCCGTGTTGTTAATATCTTGAGAGATGCCATTGTGAGATGAATGGCCACGGATCACACGTCATAAGCTCGAGATTATTCCTCTCCCCTTCCCCCCTTGTACATGGTGCCTTGCAGACTTTTGGCGGGACCATCGTCAACATCGGCGGCGACGTCACCGCCAATGCCGGCAGCCTCTTCTTTGACGGGCTCGCCGAAAACTCGGGGGATGGCGGCGTCGGGGGCGCAATCTACAACTACGGAGGCGGCATCGTCAAGTGATCAGCAACAACGCGTGGACAGGGGGATAGTACCCCGACGACGAGGATAGCGCCAAGAACGATCGGTGCGCGTGGGTCACTTTCTCTGAGCTCTCATACTTCAACAATCTGCTGCATCTGGCCTACCCCGGCCTCGTTGCAGAAACTTCGACGGTCTTCGCCTCGACATGCGCTACGTAGCACCCATGAGGGCTAGTCTACATGTAGATGCCCATTTAGGATGATCCCGCCCTTTGTGGCAGTGATCTCCCGACAAACGCGCCTGCGAGACGTACGCAACTGAAAAATGAGGCTTCCTCGTACATAAAGTCCTGTCTGATCAAATGAGAGGCTGTCTACTGAGCGATCGATCGGATTCCTGCAGAGATGTATTCCCAGGCTCACGGGCTTAGCCATGTTCAGGCAGAACAACGGTGTATGGGGGGGTGCCGTCTTCAACCCTGCGGTGCCGACCGCCTACTTCACGGCCGAGGACGAAAGTTACGTGATGCCGATAATGAGCTACTCGGAGGACAACCGTCTTCGAGGACCACTACGGACAGGTACAGCATATGTGATTTCTCTTTCTTGTTGAAGGTCGAATTCGCTTCGTTTGTCGTCTCTGTTGGTCAGTCTCGACACTCTTCAAGTCAGTGTCGCCCGTCGCAGGATAGTTCGGCGAGACATTGATATGCTGTCGCCACAGGACGGTTTTTCAGGACCACGGCGTCGAACCAGGCGTTTCCATGACTGCCAGGAGCCGTTCAAGATTGGCGAACCTGCAGATCTAACAACGAGAAAAATCCCTTTCATGTTTTCTGTGTTCTTTTCCATCGCTGGTGGTTTGGTCCATCGACCCCTAGAACCGGGCATTGTTGGATACTACGTTCTCCGCGTTAGTGCTGAACCGATGTCATGTGGGCGCCCACCCCTAGTTGTTTCCGCGAGACACGTCACCCACTCGTTTCTCAACACGATCCACAACTCTCCGTTCCTTCTCCCATACTCTACGTCGATCAACACCACTGGATTGAGTGAGGTTCGGAAGTATTAGTTTTATTCGGCGGATTTCTAATAAATTTTGATGCAGGATGTTTCCTGGACTATTTCCTCTTTCGGTTTGGCTTTCCTCTTGGTTGAGTCGACGATAGATAATAGATAGTAAACAATCACCGCCCATGATGGGGGGACATTGTTTGTCGCTTGAGTTGCATCGGGCCGCGATACCCCGCTGGCCAATCAACAGACGGCGTCACTCGTACACGTAGCGGGTCCATAAGTGTTGCTGCGTTACACTCAATATGCGTGCGACTGACTGAATGAGTGGAATGCCTCGGAGCCAGCGGCCAAGCACATATGGGAGGCATTTCGAAGCGGTGGACGTACAGCGGACGGCATGTCCCCCCAGGCATTCGAGTGGTACACCTTCCATTCAGGATTCAAGGTTCACAGGGCAACGAACCAAGCGCACTTCTGTTCTGCAATACTTGCTAGTTGGAATGCGGGGCAACGGGTGCGGGCTTCAAAACAAGTCGGTCTGTATCCTACGACCCGAACCCTAATCTACGGTGACTGCTTCTGGATCGGTCGTAAAGAACGACGATAGGTGGAAGACCATACAATTGATTTTCTTGTTCTCCATCGTCTTTCTGCGGTACTTCGTTTTTGTTGCAGCAAGAGAGAGTCAGCGATGTCGTTTTCTCGGGTCGAACGTGAAGTCGACTGTCGAGTACCCACCAATCGGCCGTTGGCCGCGTTCAGTTTCCGCTTTCTGTGAGCTAAACTACGAGTACTACGTGCGGTTCTACCAAGAGTAGACCCAAAAGATGAATGAATAATAAGCAGCTGATCCCATCACGTGTCAACCGCCGTCGGCCGCAACCCAATATTTCTTCGCTTCCCTCTTCCTCTTTCTCTTTCTACGCCGCATCACTTCAAAACAAGGCGATAAACCAAGAATCACACAATAGAGAAACCGGAAGCACTGCAACCACGACCGTCGCATCACTACATGCTCTGCTCCCCGAATCGGTGGAGATCTCAGGTGGAATCGTTTGGGGCGCTCATTCGAACAGGTCGAAACAGTCGTCGTAGCTTGGGTCTGCCTTCAATAGAGCAAGAGTCCAACAGAGGGTAGATGGTATTGTATCCTCTTCCCCTCAAATATTTGTGTTTATAGTTTTTCCCACGTGCCCGAGCATCTCTGCTGTGCCGTCGATCAACTCCGCGCAAGGCGCGATATGTTTACTGCGAGGACACCCCCCCCCCTGGAGGTCTACAATACGGTGCCCCCCTGTCCGTACAGCCACCACATACCATGACACATGTTGTGAGATACATAGGGGGCAGCACGTATCAGCAAAATCATCGCCAAGACAATGTCGTCCTCGTTCTGATTAGAGACGGTGACCCATTGGACGAAAAGGTCCGACTCGGGGTAGCGGTGACGACTTCGCAAAAATATTCCGAGGCCGTGGTGAGTGTCCCATCCATCCGCCTGCGACTTGTCGCCACGTTCAGCAGCCAACGGCTCTGGTCGCTAGGTCCGTGTCGAGCCTTCCCGGAACTTGTGCACACTTGAAGGTCGAAGAAACAAAACTCCGTCGTCGTCGTCGTCGCCGCCACAGATTATCCACCAACAGAAAAGGGGGACATATCCAAGATGCGGCTTCGAGAAGATGTACTGCCGCTCAGGAACAAAAATGCGGAGCCACAACTTCGTCCCGCGAACCTCACGAACGAATGTACGGTTCTTCGCCCCGCTAGGTCGCTTTCCCCAACGACTGCCTTTTGCATCCGTGGCCCATTCTGGCTTTTTATCCACAATCATTTGTTCGTTTCACTTCCGCCGTCACTTGAAGTACGAAGGGCAGTGAGGCTTGGCCGACTGCCACGCGGCGTCAAATCCGTCCACCAGGTCCTGGCAAAGGGATGTGACCAACAAATTAGCAGCACGGCCGATCGCAGGAGTGTAGGTAAGAAAGGCGTAAGGGGGAAACAAAGGAAGATTAGGGCACACCAAGCAATTCTGTCTAAACCCGAGGCCATCGGAAACAGTCAACGAAACTCGGCGGGTAAAGTCCAAGTGAAATTAGGAGCACGACGGTCAGTCACAAGACGCCGAAGCGCGAAAATGTTGCTCGCGTCGACCAGCCATTCTTGATTTCAGGTTTGCCTGCAGTTCTTTGTTCTATACACATAGCTTGATGAACAGCAACATCAACAGTAGCAACAGCAACAACACCAATACAGCATCAGGGGAGGAAAGGTATAGCAAACTTGTCTTCTCGACGCCTCGCGTATTGTTCAAGGAAGCGTACCTTGGGCAGAGGATTTTCGTCTCGACAGGCGTCGACGTTTCCCTTGACCTGGGACACCGAAGACCCGCATATGATCACCGTGTCTCCGCTCTCTCCTGCGAAGGGGGACGTTTCGAAGGCAAAACCATACTCCCACGGTTATGCGCCGTTGCGGGCTTCGCACCTTCCAAAACACTGCAGGCAGGTTTAAATCCCGACCAAACACCCACGGTGCACAACCTCATGGCTGGCACTGTTTGTCGTGAGGGCATGCAAGAAATCGGACTCAAAGTGCCGTTGGTTTCTTTCTGAATTGGATGTTGTGCTGCACGGCCTCGGCTTTGACGTGCAGGATACTTCGAAAAAACTCTGTGATGGGACGCGTGGCTGCCAGCCACAAAAAAAAACGTTTGTTCCTCTCTAGTCTACCCGAGCGACCCCCGTTGTAGACGACTCCGAGCGCTTTCGGGCGGTAGAAGTGCACATATCACTTCAACAACCACATCACGCAGAAGCTCAGGAGTGCACGTATCACATCGCGTAGAAGCCCGGGTAATACGGTCTTCGCAAGGATCTAGGTTAGGCGGGCGTGAGGAAGGGGCTGAGACTTCCTCAAAAAGCCAACATTGTCGCCGGTGTTCTGGACGCGAACAAATTTCCCGGGCTGTTCAACTCTGGAGCGCGTAGCCCCCGGACCCTGATTCTCAGGTGTATAGTCTTGTAGTCGTCCGAACTCGCTAAATAAGGGGCTGTCCGGGGGGGGGGGGTACACGCTGTGGAGTGACTCTACGAGCTGACAATCTCTGCGGAGCGCCGCAACAGTGTTGTGCTCGATCTTCCGGCAGCCCCCGTCCTCACTTCAACCTCCGACCTCTGTGCCAAGGGCTAGAACCTCCGAATTCATTCAGGGCGTGTTTAGTATACTCATACTCAAGTAATTTTTTGAGTATTTTACTCAATCTTGAGTATATCTTTCAGTAAGTGTTTCAAAAATACTCACCATTTACTAAAACCGTTGAGTAAGTATTTCAGAATACTCATGTGTACTTAACAGTTTGAGTACGTGTTTCAAAAATACTCATCGATACTCAGGAGGTTGAGTAAGTATGTAAAAAAATGCTCATGCGTACTTAGATACTCGAGTATTTTACTCAACGTTGAGTATATCCTTCAGTAAGTGTTTCAAAAATACTCACCATTTACAAAAGCCCTTGAGTAAGTGTTTCAGAATACTCATGTGTACTCAACAGCTTGAGTAAGTATTTCGAAAATACTCATCCGTACTCAAGCGTTTCAGCAAGTATTTCACAACGTACTCAACGTACGCAACAACCGAGTTTACTAAACATTCCCTTGGAAATCTCCTACTTTTAGTGGGTGTGTTCTTCTACTTTGAACCATTTGACGAACATCCTCACTTCGCGAGCTAGGTCACGTCGTGATACTGCCCTTGCGTGACGGCACCAAGGTATCCCCCGTGGCACACGCATGTGTACACGGCTCGATGCTCACTCGACCTCCTGCGCTGTCATCAACCTTAACGGTTCGTTGTGTAAAATTCTGTCGTCTGCTTCTGCACGTGCAAAGCGTTTCGATGCAGACGCTGTTTTCAATGGTGTAACGCTGAGGACATTACACAATACCATTGCAACGCTCCGTACCGCATGCCCACCTTTCTGCCAAGGATACCAGTCTTCTACCCTTTTTTACTACTCTGCAATAGGGCGTCGTTTGTCTAAAGCTGGACGCCTTACCGGTGAGGCTCGAGTGATGGCGCATCCACCGGAAGGACGCTGACACGAGATCCGTGTCGTGCTTGACGCAGATCGCCTTCAATGTCTCGATCTCGTCGAACAGTTCCTTGCGCCAGTACCGGGCCCTGCAAAGTCGCGGAACCCCCCCCCCCCGCAGTCCAAGAGAAACGAGTGAAGAACAGGCGAGATCTTCAGGTTAGAAAAACTCGCGAGGAAAAAAACTACAAACCCGCACGACTCTTGGATCAGCCACGCTAAAAAACGCCACACAATACAAAAGAAGAAAACAACCGCCTGCACACTCGAGGGAAACCCGGCAAATGGTCCAGGGCGGCGCGTTCAGAAGCAAAACGCCAGTGCTCGCAGGAAGGAAACAAAACGCCACAACCAGTGGATGGCCCTCATTAGGAAGACCAGAGAAATAATCGTGGGCCTTTCAAAAATAGGCGCACGATTTTATCTCCTTCTCCGTCGTTGACGTGTAACAATACCTGTAGAGTGATCCCCACAAGCTGGTGGTGCTGAACCTTCCGTCCTCCGGGGGCTTCTCGAACTTGTGCTTCCCCGAAAGCATCCCGCCAGCCTGCATGGCAGGAGGCGGAGAGGGGCGTTCGAGCCGAATGAAACGTCAACGGCGACGCTCAAGTTGCACTCTAATACTTAAGTGTGCGCCGAGGACGTGGGGCCCCGATGACAGGAATTGGGAGGCCCGACGCCAAAATTTGAATTGAGTCGGGGGGGGGTAGAGTTGAACCACATCGTTGGGAGATTTCCGCCGCAAAATCCCTTCTGAAGTTTTTAGTTACGGTAGGCAGAGACCGTACATGCGTTTCGCCGGCACATTTGTTGTTGAAAGTGATGCTTCGCCAGTAACGACGGGATTATTTGAATCCCCTTAGTAATACTGACACGGAGGAAGGATGCCGGGGCCCGGTTTCGCTACAATGTTGTTGTCCTCCTTATCGTTTCTGGCCGCTTCAGCATCCTGTTGCTTTTACCAGGGGGTTGTAGGCGTAGAACCGCATCCCGAGCTTCTTGAGGGCGGGCAGCAGCTCCCGCTCTACCTCCCTCGTGACCGCGTTGTACATGCCCTGGTACACGGCAGGGGGCTGCCAACCCTTCGCCCTGGTGTAGCGCCGCAACAGGCACCGGGGGGGGGGAGACTAGGCCATTGACCACGCGATGCTTCCAAGAACGAACATCGTTTTCGCCGCGAAATGATACACCGCCGATGGTCGGTCGGTCGCTGTTCACGTGCCCGCTGTCTTTCTGTGCAAAGTTATTTCCTGCCTTGGCAATTATGTCCTACCGCGATCTCGTCGCTGAAAGTCACATCCCTTCTCGATCGGTTCCGCTATTCGTGTGTCTAATTTCCAACGTTCAGAGTAATCTCAACGGTTCACGGTTCGGCTCACGATGCCCGGGAACCCGCACCTGACGGCTTAAAAAGCGAATGCCGCTTTCCGTCGCTTGAAAATTCCAGCGTCGACATGCTCAAAACAGACCCCTCACGACTACGTGGGAATCGACCCAATAGCACCCTGGTACTCGCTTGCAGATGTGCCAGATGTCCACCGTTTCCCACGCGGTGTAGTTGGACAATCCCCACTCGCGAAATAGCCCCTCCGACCTCAGCTCGTGGACGGCCTGAAGCGTCCCCTCGATAGGCGTGTTGCGGTCAGGGGCATGAAGGTAAAACAGTTCCACAGACGGCACCCTGGTGCGTCGAGTACGGGGGCAGGCAGGGAGGGGGAAGTTTTGTTTACGGACGGGTTGGCTGGGAGGGAGGGGGGAGCGCGGGCATATTGCCGGCGGCGCACGCCACCTGCTCCTGTGGGCAACGAAGGCGACAAGGCCACCGAGTGCGGGGCGACGTGTCTGCGAGGGAATCGTCTGGGGGTAGGGGGTAGCGCAGCCGAATGATGTTGCGGGGCGGCGCGAGCGATTGGCGGGATACGTCCACGTCCAACCGCCGCCAGGCGAAGACGCGCGTGCGTCCCGCCAGCACCGTGCGCTTGCGCGCGCTACGATGCAATCTAGCCTGTCAGAAATTGTGCCAAGAAAAAATCATCTGGCAAGGTTTGACTCTGCAGAAGACGTTGCTTTCATTGAGCAAGTCTTGCGCTAGACACCGCGGCCGCAGCTGCGGGAGTGGTTCATGCGACCGGTACGACAAGAGATGACCTCGGCGGAGGCACGCACGAGGAAGAAACGCACGCAGAGAAAAAACGAACTGCCACGTTGTGCGAATTACCCCAGGACTTCGATGGACTTGCGAAGTTGCTCCTTGACGAGGTCGGGCCTGAGGCCATACGTCGGTGTGAAGAAGTCGTGAGACTCGTCGGTCTTGTACCACGGGTTGGCCTTCGCCGCGACGCGGAACTTTTCCACGCCGATCTCGCCTGCACAGACGGAGCAGTAAACGACAAACCACTTGAATTTACGGCGAGAAAAGTGCCGCTGTTGATGGAGTGTTACTCCGAATGCCAGGACCCCTTCTGCGCGGGCACGGTGGCTACAGCAAACGAGAGCTCAACACATGTGCGCGCCACACCAAATATGATGGGGGCGAACTTCTGGTAGGGGCAATACTGCACTACTACTTGCGGCCCTGGATCGTGCCGACCACCACCACTCTGACCTTTCCTGCGCTCCTGTTGAGCATATTCGCATGCTACACGCAGAAACGTAGCGGGGAGTTACACGAGGCTAGAATTTAGAGGTACCCTCGCTGGCAAGTGCCGCTCGCCAAGCACTGTATTTTACCGCAAGTCGTCTGGGGGGCCCGCGGTATTACGTGGGCGGGAGCGCGTACGTACCTAGCGTTGTCTCCGTCGCCCCACCCTGGTACAGGATAGCGGTATCGATCTCGTCGAAACCGGCGGCGTGAAAGTACTCCAGAGCCTCGCGCGCCGCCGCCGTATCCAACGGTTCCGGGATGGACATCGTGCCAAGTACCGCTGGAATGGACGCGCTCTTCCCGCCGGCAGGAGTAGCAGCGGCGGGGGGAGCGCTTTGCTCGACGCCTGGGCCGAGAATTGGGGGGGGAGGGGGGGTTAGCAGCATGCTCAGTCAACCGTGTGGTGTGCGGCATACAGAACACCGCAACACCCAAACCCCTCCAAACATCTGCCCTCTAGGTCATTTCTGATACATCTTCCCAGCAAAACATTACGTCGTAATATTACTTTGTACATTTTTCTGGTAGTCAGATACGCAAGATGGCAAACGGTTTTGTTGACCTGACTGCTACCCACAGGGAAGATATCGCTCTATCCTGCTCGGGGAATGCAGTACGTATAAGGGCGCCCGGCCCCGACTTCGCGCCACAGGCGCCCTCATTATCATGATTGAGATGGAAACATCTGCTGCGCTCAAGGCGATGGTTTTCATGATCAAAGGTGGTACGTAGGTTGAAGGATGTGCGCGCCGCACATGATATGCATACCGAGGGCACGAACCTGGAAATGAGGTTCCGACATTAGGTAGTGGTTACGACATGACGGAATTCGAACGAACGTCTTGTACTTTCGACCATCTATCTGTGGTTTTTAAACATGTTATAAATAGAGCCGCCACATGACAGATTAAGAAAAAAACTGTGGTTGGTTGGGTATGAATCACCAAAAAATATGAGAGAGAAAGGTTTATGTTGTCACATGACGCATGATACACACCATCATTCAATGTACAACTACTACGAACTTTCAACAATTTATGGTGTTCTTGGCCGATTGAAAATAAGGGTTGCGTGTCTTACTTCATTGCTTAACTCGACTCGCCTTTGGAGTCTCGAGCCCACGACAGGGGCGATCTTATGCAGAGACTGACGCGCTCCAGTGGGCGAAGATAGACGAAAAAAATTGTAACGGACTGGGATGTACTGCACGAAAACGTCTTGCTTTGAGAGTGCAATAATAATAGTGACTTAACTCTTGCTAGTTAGATAGTTGAAGTCAATATTACCGTAATACCGTAAGGTTGCGAGTCATGGTACGGTCTGGAGTCATCGCACCACTGTACGACAAAAAAAATTGGCTATTTTTGTCTATACTCCGACCGAGTATGATTTATTTAGACTTGCGCACAGGGTCCGGAGGCACCGCACAGGGGAGTGCGATGACTCGCAACCTAGGGTTGTTGAGTGCCAGCGATTCCGGGGCAATTTTGACCCCTCCCTGCAACCGTGCCTGTGGTGCATGTTAGCTCTGCTATATGGGTATATGGCTGTATGGGAATGTCATCGTCGCACACCACACGTGGAGAGGCACCGACCGGTAGACTACTGTATGAAGGAAATGAAAACATTGGCAAACGTTGTCAATGCATGTTTCCATTGATTATTGCAGCCCGATTATTGGAGGATCGGTAAACTTGAACATTGTCCATCCAACCAAAACACGAGAAAGACAAAACAGCAGTAAGATTAAGGTTGGGTGTTGGGTGTGGGCGTGTGGGCGTGTGGGTGCGTGGGTGCACAACTCGTCGGCGGGGAATCTAATGTTTCCCGCCCGCGGGCCGCGGGACCGCGGGATTTCGTATTTCGCCGCGCATAGATAGCCGCATTTTTTTGGGTGGTGGTCGTTAGTGTGTACATACATACATACACACAGTTTGCACTCTCCGGATCCGACTGTATGTGCCTTTTGTACCGAGAGTGTGGATCTGTGGATGGATGTAGCACAATTGCAGTAGACATCTTTGTTAAGATAAGAGCACACGAAAACACTTCGTTCGTTCGTTCGTTCGAAAGAAAGAAAACAATATAGCATACAACCTGGTAATAACTATTGCTGCCGTATGCTACTACTGTACGTCGTCGCTGCCACTGACTATAATACGTTACATGTATGTACGTATTAGATCTGATGTGTAGAATCTGATGTGTAAGGGAGATGTATTGACTATGTATTGTACATAGATTCCCACCAGCTGATTCCCACAGAGGGGGGGAATTGGGGCTTCAGTTGAAGACTCCCGGGCGAGCTTGAGCGCCGCTTGACTGCATATATATCCTGTTGTTTACTTTCGCAAATCACAAAAATGGTCTGGTTGGTATCCTCGAAAGCTTCTAGAGGTCAGGTCAGGGGTTCGAATCCCGGCGTCAGCGAGAGCTTTTCTTGCAAAGCGAGTTTTTATCTCGCTTCCGCTCCTGGCCTAGTGGATAGCGCTGCAGTAGTTCGTGTGTGTGTACACAGAGGGGAGAGAGTGCTGAACTCTTCTCGCATTAAAAATCGAAGGCAATGTACCGCAGGAGGGGAGGGTAGAGAGGGGTTCTTCTGTGTGACCACGGGTTGGAGTAAACGGCACTCGTGCTGTGAGCGCTGATTTGAAGTGAAGACAAAAAAAAAAAAAAGAGAGAGACAACTTTGTTGGCCCGCAACAATAGATGATTAAGGAATAATAAAATACAAAGATGACCGGTTTTCGGATTCCCCGCCAATTCCGCGCTCTCTTCTGATGATGATGATGTTACTTGGTGCTTGCTCAAGCTTGCTGCAGAATTTCACTCTCTGTCCCAGACGAAGCGGTGGTGTGGTGATGCACGTTGTTACCGGACCCTCCTGCTGTTTTCGTTCACATATACATGGGGCACAACAACTAACAACTCTAATAGAGCGATGTCTACAATATATCAACAACGTCGAGAGACGCAAAGAGAGAGAGAGAGAGAGAGAGAGAGAGAGAGAGAGAGAGAGAGAGAGAGAGAGAGAGAGAGAGAGTTGTTTTACCCTACCCGCCGCACATTTGTTGTCGTTGACGCATGTCATCATGCGCATGAATTCTCTCCGGCTGGAATCCGGCGTGCCGTCTGCTTGAATTACGGGGGTGGGGACCTCCATTGAATAAACTAACGCTGTATCAACATGGATGCTTCATTAATGCGATAATGACCTTGTGTCGTCTCTGCCCATCTATCGAGCTATCTATGTAGACTACGAAGCCATCTATCTGCCTCTTACGGGTGTGGGCGATGCGTGTCAACGACCATCCATCCATCCATGTCGTCAATGCCTGTGGCAGCTGGATTGGTTGGTTTTCGTCTTAAATACAGGAGATCATCATCATCATCAAATCTGACATAAAGATAGAGTGCACATACATGCCTATTATCTCTCCCTTGGGTACTTGGTACACAGAAAGCGGCAATACAAATTAATTAAATCCTTTCCGGATACCGGATCAACGACTTGACGAGAGCACGCGCCGACCTCAAAGGAACACTGCTACACATATTGATGCTACGGTGCAGCAGATAATAATAGCACTCACTTTCGCCAGTTGAAACCATGCTGCTGGTAGGTGCGTGCAGGAAGGTGGCGTGTATCGGGTATTTATGTAGTCTTTCCTCGGCTCTTCTACTACTGCTGTACTCGTGAGGGCAAAAAAAAACTGATGCTCGGACTTGACTGACTGATTTGTTTGCTGTGCTGCTTGGTGCTGCTGGTGTCTTTTCTTCGAGAAAGCTCTCCACGCGCGCGGACGAGCCGCCTCTCCTCTCCTCTCCAACCGGAACGATCTCCCGAACGATCTATTTTCCGTCGGGGTTGTTGACGGTGTCGGCCGGGATAATTAACTCAAGAGCTGAAGTCTGAGGTGACTGAACGTTCGAAAAGTTGCTGTTGTAGAAAGAGATCCCACCCGCGGTGGATTGTGTGTGTGGGTGCTCCTCCTGCCGCACATGCAACTGCTGTAACAACGCCACGAACAACAGGAATTTGGCTATTTTGGGGGTTATGCATGTGTGCAGGCCGAATCTTCTTGTGTTCGTAGGCATATCGCATTCAAACGCCACGTGCGGCGCGGTGTGACATCCAGTCAGTTCACCATCTATTCTCCGGCTAAGTGTCCCTCAATCGACCGGTAAGCACAGCCCTTCCACCGGGGTATTGATCTGTGTGGTATCTCGCAACGGGCTGCCTTCCTTCTTCGGTCGTTATGTATGCTATGCAAACGGAAAACAAACATGGTGCCGGGACGAAGAGTTCGCCAACGAAAAAAGTTTTCTCCACCCGCAACTGCTGCCCAAAAGGTTTTTCATCAACAGCTGTACTCTGTAGGTCCATTCCATACTTGTAGGACGCATACACTGCATATATATCCCTCCCAGTCGGGCAATTATCTCGGACGGATATGTTCCGTTGATGGTGCCCACGCATATTCCCTCCCCTCCCGTCATCCACGATGACGGAGGGAAAAAGTACCTCTCGCAGCAGGCTCCGCATTCCACGGAAGATAACGATCGCCGCGAATAGAATGTTCTCGGGTATGGGGCGATGGGACGACTCAATCACGAGAGAAGGGAGACAAAGCTCACGAATTCCAAGCCGCCGTGTGATGTTCTCCGACACACGATCAGTGCCGACTTTGCGTGTCACCCCCTCCCAACACAAGCGTATCATGGTACCCATCATTCCCATGACAAAAAAAAAGTGAAAGAGTTGGGCACATGGCATCAATCAATGCTGGCTGGCGGAAGAGGCGATTCTGAAGAACAAAAGGCTTGGGACCAAAGGATATTTCGGACTTACGACAGGGTGGAGACACCATGACGAGAGGGCACTCACCGATGAAACCCTCGCAGTTTAGTCGCGTGCCAATACTGCTCTGTGTGTGTTGTTTTACGCTGGCCTCCATAAATAAGTGAACAAATCACGACATGACGTACGCACGTGCATGGCACATGGCCGTTTAAACCTTTGCCTCTCTATTGCAAACCTACTACTGTAAGTTGCGACGAGCCGTTCACGTCACGGTTCGCGATAGAGCAGGGACCGTATCGCCTACGACGCATCCCCCATCGGACACGTGAACCCGACCACAATCTTACACCACAACAGACACACTTGACCAGCCAAAAAAAAACGGAGGCACTCGCCCGGTGGTGAGGCACAACTACCTCCCTCTACGGCGGCTACATGACCGGGCTAGAAAATCATAGCCCTATCACATCAAGACAAGTCGAACCTACTTGTAGCAATCCGAAGTCGTGGACTGTTCGAAAAGACAGGGCACCTTCTCCCCCCTCGGATGGACTGTGCCAACTGGAATCCCGCTCCGCTCCCGTGTGCGTAGGCACTCCAAGAAACAAAAAACGGCCTTTTGGGTCACGGTGACCGCCTTAACATGGCGCAGCGACAAGACGGGGAAATCTCCCTCACCCGTCTAGCAATCAATTCATGGTTGTGCATCAAATAATCAAAGCTTCAAAATCAAACACCCGCAACAAACCGGCGCTAGCACAACATCACACGTACCGACGTGTCCGCAACAGCTTTTGGGCAAAAGCAGTACTTTCGACCGAATGAATCATCACCGCAAAAGAAGAAAGAAGCGGCGAAACCACTCCACGCCCTCCCCACTGGCCTCGGATACAACAACCCACCAACACCGCCCTATGTCCTCGCCGTATCCCCGGCAGCGCCTTGCCCGCAACCCGACGATCCCTCCGCCGATTGTGACCCCCCCCCCAACCGTGCACGACAACATCACCAGTTGTCGAACCCCCCGTCGCCGGTCCGGCGCTTCTTGTCGAATGCCTTGGCGTTCGCTGCTCTTCTCGTCCGCTTGGCCAACAAACCATCGTCCATGCCCCAGCGGTACTTGGTTTTCTGCTTCCACGTGTTCTTCTCCGCCTTGGGAATTGGCCCAGTGCGCTGTAGGCGGTATTGACGAGGGGGGGGGGGGGGTACCTATAATCCTGCATGCCCTAATCCTTAAAACAA